ATCCGTCCCTACCCATATTTGTCAGGGGGTGATTTGAGGGTTCTGCCGCGAAAGAAAGTATATACACACCATCCATTCATAATGCAAAAACATTCCAGAATAGTTTACGTATTTGGAATATATGATCCATGAAAGAAAGCATAAATAGGACACGTAGAAACAAATAAACATCAAAATCTATAAAGAAAAGAAGAAAGAAATATTTTCCTGTATTTGAAGTACAGAGACAACCGAATTATTGATAAGAAAAAACAACTATTTAAAGCAATACATTCAAAATTCAAACAATAGTCGTATCACATATTTGGTAGAAACAAAGTTACAGTCCGACCGCATCAACAAACAGCTAGAAGATCAAACTAAACTTAAAAAATCAGTCGAAAACAAAATAAAGTGCAAATGAGATATCTCATTTTCGTCTACCTTCATAAGAGACATAATTAATATCATAAGAAGAATACCAATGTTAGCTCTTTAGTCTCTATGTCGAAGAGGCCAAGCCCAAGAACCATTACGGTCCCGGTAGCAGTTCCAATGGAATATGTAGGTGCAATCTGGCTCTGTGCATCGAATGGATAGATCATCTCTACAAGGCTTACCACACTTGTTGCATTTAGGAGGATAAAAATCTATCTTCACCAAAGTGACAGAGTGTTCGTGATCATCAGTCCGGAATGGTTTCCCGAGCTTGACAAATGGGGATTTCCAAAGCACACAATTAAGATGAGCAGAAACATCGCAATGGGCACAATGATAAAACCACCACTTTGGATCTCTGGTTTCTTCACATATGTCACAATAACATTGACTTAGATCATGACCATCACGATAAGTAAGCTTGAGAGCATCATCGTCATGTTTGTACCGAGCTGTTTTTGGTAGCACAAGGCATCTATAATCCAATGTAAAACTGCATTTCTTGTCCTTGCATCTAAAACCGCGTCGAGTACAATAATCATCACAACCATAAGGTCCATAACATTTCCCTTCGTATTTGTGGTCAAAGAAAAGGAAGTGCTCCTGTCCTTCTATATTTACAATACGAGTGTCGAGAATTTCATGAAACCGAATGCACATAATCCTGTCGCATGCATTACAATTGTAGCCAAACCCACTACTCCAAAACCAGCAATAGCGACAATAAAAAATGGAATAGAAAAAGAGTTCTCTTAAATGCTTGCAAGTCCAGTGACGCTCTCCTTCTTGGGTAACCCATGAACACAGCACTTACAGAGAAAGAAATTACATTGTGCACAAGAGTAAAATGAAGTAGGGATAGAACGCATGCAACCTTCACAACTTCGGCCATCCTCAACCACATCACCCAATATTAAGTTGTGTTCATGGCTGAAATGCTTTATCTCTCCAGGTTTGACTTCCTGAAAAGCAGGAAAGATAGCAGTCCAGTCATCTGATGATTCGGACTTTTCATCTTCCAAAAGATCTTCATCAATTGCACAATTTACATGGGCAAAATAGTTGCAATCTGAACAGCAGTAACTCCCATATCCCAGATTTATGTCATCATGACAGATATTGCATTCACGTATTGCAGCTTCCTTATCTTGAAAGAAATAGACGTGAGAAAGTCGATGTGGATGCCTTATTATTTTGATGGTGCGGCGAAGTGAAGTACAATCTGAATGAAAAATAAGGTTGCATTCAACACAGATAAAGCAAACATGATTTCCATCAGTTCCACATGCATTACAAACGAATGAAATTGTGCCTGAAAAGGGGGTCAACGAATGTTCATGAACTTCGGCTGTAATTGTTTGTAAAAAGGCATCCGCAGCTTTGAAGCCAAACTCACAAAGAGAACAATAATAAACAAATCCCTTATAAGACTTGGTGCACAAATGACAAGAACATTTCTCTTGATGTGGTGAGGGTTTGTCCAAAAGCAGGAGAGGGTGTTTCCGGTCGGCAGAGTGATTGATCTTAAGAGGCAACTCTGCACATTTCTTATGAAGGTGAAATACGCAATTAAGACAACAGTAGAATGCACTTGACTTGTACATGGGTTCCCTACATCCTGAGCAGACTTGTCCTTTGGATTGAAATTCAATATCTTCAACCAGTATCAATGGATGATGGTGGCTAAAATGTCGAAGCTTTTGAAACTCTTGAGCAACAAATTGAGGATGCATAGTGTAACTGCACCAAACCCAACGTCCTTCTTCACTTCAGATCTGCACTCCGGATTGACCTGCAAAGCCCCGAGATGGATCTCGGGGAAGACACTCCGATGCTTAAGTCAGTAATAATCGAGGCTACCTTTAAAGCAAGAGAACAAGGAGTTTAGGGTTGGTTTTTTCATCCCCTTTTGGCGTAGCCCTTGAGAGGTATTTATATGTTCTGATGCAGAATCCACGCGGCATGCCAATCAAGATGCCAAGCAAGATATCCGGGATGTGATATGTATCTAGCAAAATATCCGGGATGTGATATGTATCTCCAGGCAGTTATTTCGGGACCGGGAGATTGAGATATATCTAGATATAAGGAAGTCCATCGTAACTGCCGTGTAGCTATTCTAGCGGGAAGCTCTGGATTTACCCTTACACATAGCACATCTAGGGTCAAGGTCAAAATGACAAGAATTGCATCCATAAGAAAATCTAATACTTTTGCGGCAAACATAATAGTTATGAGCATAATATTCCAAATGAAGAGTGAGGGTGTTGGGGGTGGAGGGGGTGATTAATGATCTCCGTTTCTAGCTCAGCACATTTCTTATGAAGGAAAAACCCACACCTACCAGTAACACAACCGTAGATGGAACCCTCTAATTCTTCGTCGCATCCAGAACAATAACCCTCTGCCGCTTTCCTGCATTTATAACAAAAACCCTCTACTGCTTCGTTGCATCGAGAACAAAAACCTTTTCGACTTCCCTGATCATCCGGCTCTCGATCCACAAGCACCAAGGGATGTCGATGGTCGAAATGATAGAAGCTCTCCATGACTTCCTCTGAACCAAATTCTGAAGGGGGAGGGAGGGTAAACTAGACAAGCAAATAGCAGCAAAATGAGAGGATTTCTGGTTGATTGTAATGAACTACATAAAAAATGAATAATTGATATCTCCCAAATTATTTTAAACTTTAGAATGATTCTGTCGGCCATTTCACACTTACTCTCCAAAATTTAAATATTATAACTTTATCGATGTTGCAGGTGGGCTGTGGGGCCCATTACATACTTCACGCGTATAACGTGATTAAGATTCTCAAGACCCAACGGATCCAACACTACACCAATAGTTTAATTTGAATTTGAGTGTATCACAGCTGTTTTCAACTTTTTCAGTAAATTTAATAGGGGGATTTGTTTGATCAATATCTTTAGAACCAAAATAAGGATACATTTTTTAATATTAATTGGTTAAATACTTTTTTTTGTCTCTCTACCATAAAAAAAAGTTTTTTTTTAATCTTTGTATAGAAAAAATCTCTTTTTTAATTTTTACTGTTCATAAATTTGGTCTTTTTTTAGTCTTTCTGTTAATTTTTACTCACGGGACACGTTAACTTAATTAAAACGACTGATGTGAATATGCCAACATGTCAAAGATGTTTATATGGACTTAATGACATCATCCATGTCACCTTCTCCCGCACAGAAAATTAAAAATAGAAAAAAAAGTTAAATACTAAATTTGACTCCTCAACTTTATAAGTTTGCACTTTTTTAGTCTTAAATTATTATTTTTTTATTTTTTTATCTTTTAATTTTAAAAATTACACAATTTTAATCCTTTTATCAGTTAAATATGATGTGATAATTAAATAATTTCATTTGATTTTTTTTAAAAATTTTTTGTATGACA